TCGGCGCCGCCCGCGCACCCAGGGCCTGGGGCTGCTGCTACCGCGGCCGCCGCTCCCCCGTAATGGCGACGAGGCGCCGACAGCAGTGCCGAGGCCCCGGATGCAGCTTTATAAAGGGGCCCCGCCCGCCGGGCCCGCCGGGAGCTGTAGTCCGGCCGCGCGGGCGGGGCCGCCTGGCGCTCTTCGCAAGGGCCAAGCAGAGCTTAGAAATCCCGCAGTGCCGCTGGGGCTCCCCCAGACAGCGCCACAGACCGAGGGAGGGAGGGTAAGGCCGGTGTTCAACCCCCGCATGACAGGCCAAGGGACTATTGACATCCGGGGTAAGCACCGCGAGGCTGAAGTCAGCTCCTTATTCCCGGTTCCCGAGTCAAAGCTGAAGGTCCTAAACATGCTGAAGAGTCAGAATCTCCTCACACATGTAATATAATATCACGTTTCAAGTACATTGCCCTGAATAAGGAGCCCAAACTAAACTGGGATTACCCGACAACATCTGCTTCGGCTCTGCCCAAAACACACACCACTACCAGCAGGGCAACTCTCCCAAAGCTGCCTGGGCAGAGACCACCCCACCCAAAGTGCATTTTTCACAGGCAAGCCTGCCAACTCCCAACCCCCCAGGGCTGCGGACTAATTACACTGCCAAGAGTAAGGAGCTGATTTCAGGCTGGGATCATCATCAGGCAAAATCCGTTTTGGGTCATCCCAAACTACACACCCCTGCCACTGGGAGACTCTACTGAAGAAGCCTGGGCAGGCCCCTGCCTGACCCAGAGCTCAGTAAGAACCAACTTCAGCCTCATTATGCATTTGCTTATGAGGTTTGTGCTTACAAAGTTTGCCCTTGCCCTAAACAGAACCAGTTTCCCAAGCCCTTGCAGTTTCTCAAGCCCATGCAGAGCCAATTTCATAACTAGAAGAGGCAAGTTGTGTGTCAAAATATGAGATGGCGGCATCTTCCTTACAACATATAAGTATATAAAAATACATCTAAGTCATTCTGTGCAAACAGCTTGGTAAGCAGAGAAAGCCAGAAAGTGTAGCTGAAGCCCACAAGACTCAATGCACTGTGCCCTTCACACACCTCAGGTACGCAGAAAGTACCATATTGGATCAAACCTGCAGCCCATTGAACCCATTACTTCACTTCCAACACTTGCTGCCAACCAGTGCTTCAGAGGAAGGTATCAAAAACTAAACAGTAAGGTAGACGTAGGATAATCTGTCTATTTTGGGGATATTCCTGATGTTCAATTGATAGAGATGGACTTAACTTCTGAAATACATTTTATGTTGGCTCTTATTTTTGCTAATACTTACTATTACAACTTTAGATATTCCTCTTCTCCAAATAAAAACCCAATTCCTCTTTCAGTCTTGGCTTTGACCACATCCTATTAGGATTCATGAGCTTGATAAAAAAAATGCATCACATTCGATCAATTCTGAATGGGTTATCTTTCAGTTTCATTGAACATTTCCTTGGTTTCCTATTCTCAGACTACAAGAATTTCTCAAACTACCTGCTCTGTTATCATTCATTACTTTGCAGGCTCTTATGTGCCTCTTATCTGTGTTATCTTAAACTATCCCAAGCTTTTCGAATGGTCTCATGGCTCATCTCTGAACTCCCTCTAATTCTGCAATACCCATTTTAAGTAGCTACTGAACATTATATTTTATTACAGCCAATAAGCAGATTGGGCTAGAACAGAGCAATAAAACATTCATGCATCCAAAAATGATATGATGTGGGAGTTACAGTGGACAATAAGCTGAACACAAGCAAACAGTGGCTACTTGTTGCCAAGAAGGCTAATGGCATACTGGGCTGCATTAGTAGGAGCACTGACAGCAGATCGAGGAAAATTATTCTTCCCCTCTATTCAGCGCTGGTGAGGCCACATCTGGAGGACTGTGTCCAGCCTTGGCCTCCCCACTACAGAATTGGAGAGTCTACCGGACAGCAACAAAAAGGTTAGAGGTCTAGAGAACAGAATTTACAAGGAAAGGCTGAGGGAACTGGGCTTATGTAGTCTCGAGAAGAGAAGACTGAGGGGAGATTTAATAACAGCCTTCAACGACCTGAAGGGAGGTTTGAAAGATATAGACTCTTCTCAGTGGTGGCAGATGACAGAACAAGGAGCAATGGCCTCAAGTTGCAGCAAAGGAAGTTTAGGTTGGATATTAGGAAAAACTTGTCATGAGGAGGGTAGTAAAACACTAGAACAGGTTACCCACAGGGGTGGTGGAAGCTCCATCCTTGGAGGTTTTAAGACCTAGAAGAAGCCTTGGCTGGAATGATCGAGCTGGGGATGGTCCTCCTTTGAGCCCAGGGGGTTGGACAAGACCACCCGACATCTCATCCAACCCTAATTTTCTATGATTCTATTTTCAAAGCAAACAGGACAATGAGGCTTGAGGTCATGTCCACACCTAGTTTTTCAGCCAGTCGTGCCTGAGCAGGGTTAAGTCATTGGCCAGTCCACGACACCATTTCACTTGGCTGCGGCAGATGTCACACTTGGATGCAAACGCCCTTTGGAGGAAGCCAATGGCACTAGTGAGCTGACACCAGCACAGCTCAGAGGCCAGCTGTAAGCGCTGCCCTACCTGCATGCGAGGGCCGGCTCGCTCCAGCCTGCTCCGCGGAAGCCGACGGAGCCACACGCTGGGGCCGGGCTCAGGCGCACCCCCGCGGTGGGAGGCCGTGGGCAGGGGCGATGGGCCCCGCGTCGTCCCGGACTGCAGAGCAACAGGGCGGGGCGGGACCACGGTTGTTCCCAGGGCCCTTGCGGGGGCGCAGGGGCAGAGGGGTGCGGCGGATACATGGTTCCCATGGTAACCCCCCGGCGCGGCCTAGCCCGCGCTCCAGCTCAGGTCAGTCCCACGGTGAGACTACTCCAGCCACACTTCACCTTCCCGCTGCCGGGCAGAGCTTCCGATTGGCTAAGACGTTTCAATCACGTGACACGAGAGCGGCTCCTGCGTGTTGAGGCGGAGGTCAAGGGGCAAAGCTCACGTCACTACCCAAGATGGCGGCTTCCATCGGAGCGGCGCGCAGCCGCGCCCTGTTCCGCCGCAGTTGTGGGAAGAGGCTGAGCGCTGCCTGGGGGCTCCTCGGTGGGGCGCGGGGTCTGGCCGCTCAGGGGGAGACACACTTAGGGTTTCAGACCGTGCCCGAGGCGGAGAAAGAACAGAGAGGTGACACGACGAGGGTGACCAGCTTGGATCGGGGTCGGGGCTGGAAGGCGGAGGGGGCGGGACTCTGGCTTCAGTGTAGCGCAGGACACAAGCAGACCAGCATCGTAACCGGCCGAAACAGGACCGCGGGATCTTGGTCGTTTCTAACCTTGTCGGCGAGCTGCTGTGACTCTGGGCCCACTTCTTGCCCTGGCTCTGTATTGCCCCTTTCTTTCTGTTTCTTTTTATACCGAGAGCTCACTGGGGGTGAGAGGAGGTGTTGCACAACTCGATTAACCTGTAGGAGGTACTGGAGTATAAATAATAGCAGCTAATTAACGTTTATTAAATATTGATACACAGTTAAATAGCAACAAACATTAAATAATAACACTGACCTGAGGAAGGGCCCTTAATGTGCAAAAGCTTTTCCAGCAGTTGGTCTAATAAAAGACATCACACACAATCCTCATCTCTTGGACATTTTCTTGGATATAACTCGCAAGAGAAATATAACAGCCATGCCTAAGAGTTTATAAAAGTTGGCTTAAATGACTGTGGTGCTGAAGATCAAGGAGAGAGTGGGCAGAAGAAAAATGCAGTCATTTATCATCTCTAGACTGCCTATGTTGGCATTCCTAGGTAATGTATGTCTCATTTTAATATCTTTTTAATGTAGTTTACCAGGTGTTTGAAAGTGTGGCCAAAAAGTATGATATAATGAATGATTCAATGAGCTTTGGAATTCACCGGCTATGGAAGGATATCTTACTGCATCAAATGAACCCTTACCCAGGAACACAGCTGCTTGATGTTGCTGGAGGGACAGGTAAAGGCCACTTTTGTTTCTGGTATTGTTGTTAAGCAGTGCTATCTGCTGAGTAAGGTTCTTAATAGCCTGAATGAGTTCATCTGCATTGGGGAAATGGAAAATGATTAGAATATAAGTAATAAGAAGCAAAATGATATTTGTTATATCAGCAAGAATAGTTTAGAGGAAGTGCTGTCTAGCAGTTAATGGGCCTGAAGTAAAAAATGGTACAGTAAAACTGTGTTAACCGGGATTTTACTAACCAAAATACTTTGTTAACCGGAATTTCCAATATCTCCCAATACAAATCCTCACTTTAGCAAATGGAATCTTTGCTGAGTCTATGTGGCACATGCATCAAGTATTTCTGGTGTTTACATTAGTTAGTGATGCTGTTGATAGAGGAGCTGCAGGGGAAGGGGCGGAGGGAGGGGAAGGGATCTGCTTGGGTCAGGGCGGGCTGTTGCTGCAGGCTTTGTGCCAATATAACTCTCAGATAACTGGAATTTTTAGATAACCAGTACCCCCCTTACCCCACGCATGCCAGATAACAAAGCGTTTACTGTATTCCCTGATTTGTTGCAGGCTTATTATGATTTTAAGCAAGTCATTTAACTTCTGTTTCCCATTGCAGGAGTGAAGGGAAGGGGATAGAGGCTTCGTTTCATTAATGTCTTGAAGCACTTCTGATTTTTTTCATATAGAATTACAGTATTACAAAAAATAGAACTTCAGTTTCATCTAATAGTTAAGGGAAAAGCAGACTTGTTCTCTTCCCCCCCCACCAACTATCCCCACAATTAGTTCTACTTAAATTTAA